GCAGAGGACACAAATCTGGGTTTTTGCATTGATGTAGGTCGTGTTGTTATTTTCTATTGACAAATTTTCAGTGGAGTCTACGCTACCTAATTGTTTTAGGTCCACAGATGGGCATCTCAAACTGGCGACATGACTCATATGCTTCGGATAGTTACTAAGCATCAACAGAAAAGTTTCTCTCCTAGAAATTTGCTTCCAGGATAACTGTCTTGTTGCAGTTTAAGTTTAAATCTGGGGGTGACCATGATTTTTGGTTTCTCTTTTGATGTCTGCAGTCTTTCTTTTCATCATGCAGAAAAGACGGCAAAGTTGACAACAAATAAAATACTAATCAATTCCAAAAGTTCCCTCTTTGCAGATTTATCCAATAAAATGCTCCATAATCTCCAGCTGGTGAAAATATCGCCACTGGGAGCTTAGGTGCACTAACTCTAAACAAGTATTACTGTCAGTCCCTTGATGATTGCACGGAAGCCTAATGAGTTAAAATACAGATTCCATGATTTTATGCCATTCTTTCATTGTACCCTCAAAGATTATTACAAAAATTAAAAATCCCTTCCTTATATTAGGCAATTATAATTTATATCTACCATTCATTGAAATCTGCTAGGCATTTTGCAGGTGAGGGAAGGCTGGTTTTAGCACCAACTGTAATTGATCCATGCCAGATTCTGCCCCCGTGTCTACTTTTACCTCACTCCATGTACAGTCCCACTGCTTTCAATAGGACTATTTGTGGAATAAAGTTCTATTCGGGATGAGTATCAGGCATCACTGTAGTTGTAGAACTCAATACCAAGTTGGACTATGTAAGTGGGGCATACAAAGTTTTCAAAAGGGTCTGCTGGTTTTATGACACTTACTTGGCACTATATGGCCTAATTTTCAGGGCTGCTTAGCATTTATGGCTCCCAATGAGTTCAGTTGGAATTGTAGGGCTAGGTACTGTCTGACTTGAGTTGGGCACATAAGATGGAGAACACTTCTAAAAATACATGCCAGTTATTGGGAGGGGGTTTTGGAGAAAAAACTATTAACCCTCTTTAGAGGCTGGATAGAAGTAACAGTGAATACATGACAGAAGTCAAAAAGAGAATAAATTTAATAAAATGAACTAGATTGGGCAGTCACAGAACCTCATAAATAGTAGATGATCTGGTTAAAGTGCACTGCATTGAGCAAGTATATGCGTTTAACTGAATCAAAATGGCACTACTTTCCAGGAAAATATTGTCACTACTATATTTTCTAAGACTTGCCACTAACTGCTACTAGTTTACATTATTCTGAATATGAGAGACTGGATCTAGAAATTGCAAACTCCATGAAAAGCACCTCTTCTGCTCCCTTTGTTCAGGGGCAGCTCCAGGCACCAGTGCAGCAAGCTCATGCGTGGGGCGGGAAGCCGCAGGGGGGGCAGCCTGTCAGTCGTTGTGAGGGTGGCAGTCAGGCAGCCTTCGGCGGCATGCCTGCGGGAGGTCCACTGGTCCCGTGGTTTCGGCGGCAATTCGGGGGCGGGTACGCCGAAGCTGCGGGACCGGCAGATCACCCGCAGAAACACCGCCGAAGCCGCGTGACCGCGGACCACCCACAGGCATGCCGCCGAAGGCCACCTGACTGCCGTGTTTGGGGCGGCAAAAAACATAGAGCCGCCCCTGTTTTTGTTATTCTCCAGCAAGCACGGAATTAGGGACAAACAACCAGACCTGATCTACTCTAAATGCTACAGTGATGCTAGGGTATGGGGGAAAAGTGTTGATGAGAACTGCAGCCCATCTCAGGAGACAGAAATAGGAGCAGCACTGATGATAAGACAAATGAGATGAGATACTTGGTCATAAAACCAATACACACTGAATAATTTTGTCAGTTTTCAAGTTATTACTTAGCAGGCATGGAAGTCACAGTCATTTATGGGGAATCTTCTCCTCCCCCACACCCTCCGACCCGGCTGTTCCTTTAATCACAAAGTAGTGAGACAGGGGATCCAATCAATGCTGGGGCCATACTAGGCAAGTGACAAATCATTATACTTCTGAAAATTATTAATCTTAGTGGCGCTGTGCTGGTGTGCTGTGATTTACTGAGAACGAAATAACCTCACAATGCTCAATTTAAAATTGGACATGGGTTCTGAATAATGACACACATTTACTGACGTGATAAAGCAACTGAATAATGTGGATTCATTTGTAACAAAGGAAGAAAGAACTGTACTACTGAAGATCAGATTGATGAATACGATGCAAAAAAAAATTTCCAGGGCAAAATGCCTGAACATTTTTCTAGTTGGGAAAAGGAGCCTTAATAATCAAAGTGTTTAAGGTGAGATGGCTTTTTGAATTAGCCTTTCCCCCAGATGTGCCATTACAGGGGAAAGTTTAGAAGAGCTCGCTTTTACTTAAGGGTTGAGGTAGGAACTCAGTGTAGCAGTGCTGGGGCTCATAAGCTTGCTGCACAGGTACAATTCACTGGCCCACCTGGCAGACATATGGCACATAGTAAGGAATGATCCAGACACCTGCATTTCCCCCAGGGTCATTACATGAAGAAGTAGCGTGTGCTGCATCTATGGTTCAGAAGTTACTGGGCTCAAAATGCAAGATTGTATGGCATGTGTTATGCAGGATGTCAGACCAGATGATCACAATGATCACTGAAATCTATGAATCTCAGTGCAGCCAGCCAGGCTATTGTAACTCTTGAATTTCCCTGTCCAATGGATACCTCAGTGCCTGCTTCTTTTTTGTCTCTTCTGATCAAGCACCATAGATTTAGCTCCCCTCACCTATGGCAGTTCAGAAATAGAGACCCTTTAAATTGAAAGTTTAAGAAGCCAGAACTAGTCTGTTATAAAGTGGCATAGAGCCACTGAAGTCAATGGAGCTACTCTAGTTTACATCAGTAGAAGATCTGGCCCTAACTTGTCTTTTGGACATACTGTGAAACCAATCTCTTTCTGCATGCTTTATTTATTACTACTCATTTGGTAGTGGATTATGAACAACTATAGCTATAAGGTAGAAACAATGCTAGTATATGTATTTGATCTGAGTTTAAAAAATGTAGAAGGGTCTCCACAACATGGGATGGCTTCTTGACTGCCAGGTTATTGGGGGGGGGGGGTAGAGAAGAAATAACAAAGCTATAAACCCTCAGTTGCCACAACTCACTCTGCAGTCCTGATTTCCCCACCCCCCAAAAATTAGGCAAACCCTTTGCTGAGTCTAGTCTGCTTCTATGTATGTATGTATTTGTATTCAGATAAGTAAGTAAGTGAGATTTTTTTTTGTTCTGACAAATGGCAAAGGTGCTCTCAGCCCAGAAAACAATTTGTGTTTCAATTTGAGAGGGAAAAAATTAACTTTCCAATTTTCAGCTATATGAACTATTAACTTTTAAAGTATTTATACTTACTATTCAAATGATGTACTCAGAAGAGTCGTGCTCCAGGGGTTAAATGTATAGTAGGCATATTAATTCTAAATTAATTAAATAGGCATTTTAACCAATAGGCAATTCAAAAATCCTTTTAAAATTTATCATGCTGTGTCTGGCACACACATCTGCTTGTATGTTGTTTTCCCGTCCCCTGGTATTTCACTGTTTGACTGTAAGTCCTTCAGGCCAGGGACTATGTTTGTATGGTGCCCAGCACAATGGGGACCTGATTAAATATTTAATAACAATAATTAAAGATAGGCAGGAAGTCAGTTTTCCCATCCCAGGAAAAATTTTGAGAGTCTGAAAAACTTTCCATCCCAAATCAGGACAAAAAGCTGATAACTCTCAACATTTTGCAGAGCTGAAATCCTGCAATATTTTGTTTTAGAAACAAATATGCTCTCTCGAAATACACATCCAGCTGTAGAAGCTGACTGAAATTGACATAAATGTCAGTTTCAGAGCTGCATATCACTCAATATCCGCAGTGAAACTGAACTGTCAGCCTGGGATCCATGCAAAGTTCATAGAAATCTAATCAGTCCCACAAAAGATTTTGACAACTCAGCTAATTCCAACAACAAAAAGTTGTGTCTGAATTGTTTCAACCAACTCTAACAACATGCAGATTATGCTTGATTTCTATGAACTCTAGGTCAGGTGCTAGGGGGTCTCACCCTGCTCTCGTTGAAATAAATGACAAAACTCCCATTGGTTTCAGTAGAATCTGGTTCATACCCTAATTACCTATTTAAAAGACTTAATTTATTAATAAAACAATCTGTTATTTTCCTAAATTTTCTCCTGCTTTGAAACCAAGTTTCAGCCCAGACTGAAATATACAAGTTGGCACCATAAAGAGGTTGCCAGATAGTTTAATGGCAACACAATGCCTGTCCAGAAGTCCAAGCATACTTACCATTCTTGTTGATAGTCTTCATAGTGAGGCCATATAGCGTATAGGCACAAATATTGAATGATATCTGACCTCTCCAGGTCAAGAATTAGGCTCACTGTGGGGGTTAGATTGTGAAAGTTTGAACTGCTGTGTCAGATTCCCTACCCATCTCTTCTGTCATACTGGCCTCCATCACATTTCTGTGTATCACAAGTATGCTCAGATATCTGTGCTTTGGTCATGAGTGAAATGAGTGTTACTGCCAACTATGTTTCCAGGAGACATTTGTCCATATCTCATAGCCACTTTATTGTTTGGTGCAATTTCATTTTTGTCAGTTTAAGCACGACTAAAGGCTGTGACTAGGAATAGCAGGGGTAGTTCGCTGCTGTGATTAACAAGTAAGGGCAGAATTCTGACTGCATGATTCTAGCTAGCACTGTTATCCCTCATTTTCAAGAGCACTAAAAAACAACCATACAACAGATCAACTTACATATTCTAAGATCCCTTCCAGAATAGAGACAAAAAACAGAAAATTATTCAAACATATCAGGAATATGTACTGAAAACTTAATTAGAGGAAGAGGCAGCATATGTAAGCTATGATCTTCATGCACTTTGTTCAGAAGCATAAAGCAATTTTACATTTTACCTGCATTTTGTAGAAATCTCTTCCAGTTAAAAGTTGCACTGGGTGTGGTCATAATTCCTAGATTCAAGGGAAGAAAAGGACAACATGTTTTACTAGACCTAGGGTGGCAGAACTATAGCTCTTAAAGTTTGTACTGAGTGAATAATGTCTTTGTCAAATACTCTAAATCCCACTTGAAACTGCTCCCATTTCAAGCTTTTCCTTTCCCACGTACACTTCCTTGCCTAGAATTTCTGTAGCATTCAGTTTGATTTTTCCAATTTAGGTTCCAATATTTATACCTTGGGCCAAATGCACTCAGAGGGTGCAACTCCATGGAAGTCCACAGAGTCATGCCTACTTGCACCAATGTTGGTTTGGCCTCTTAATACTATGTTGTTGTCTGGATGTCTCATAGGTAGATTTTACTTGATGGGAAAATCATCTGGATTGGTTCTGAAACCTATACCAAAGTGGGGAGGGATAGCTCAGTGGTTTGAGCATTGGCCTGCTAAACCCAGCGTTGTGAGTTCAATCCTTGAGGGGGCGATTTGGGGATTTAGTTAGGGATTGGTCCTGCTTTGAGCAGGGGGTTGGACTAGATGACCTCCTGAGGTCCCTTCCAACCCTGATATTCTATGATCATGGAATAAAAAAACATGCCCAAATCCTTTGATGTCACTACCAAATTATATGAATATTAAATTTCTTAATAAATCTTAAACTCTTAACCCCACAATACACATTTTAAAAAAAAATCTCTTTAGAAGGCCAAAGTTAAACATCTAAAATTTTATTATCACATTCTACAGTTGGTTAGTTTAGTAACATAACCAGCAGCTGAAGCAGCCACATTTAAAATGCTAAGCTAGGTCTTAATTTTTATTAAATATTACCTAGATGGCACCATAGATGTATATGGCACTTTACAAACAGAATGCATCACATTCCCTGCACTAATTGTCCAACCAAGATTTTCAAAAGCAAATCCTGATTTTGGGTGCCTCCAACGTGAGGCATGTTAAAGGGGCCTGATTTTTAGAGAATGGGGGCTCAGCATTTTCTGAATATTAGGAGTGAAGAGTTTATGCAAAGTTCACTGAAGTCTATGGAGAACTCTCACTGACTTCACCATGCTTTGGGTCAGGCCCATAAATGTGTCATGTTGGGCAGCTGAAAGTTGAGTCACCCAAAATCAAGAGTTCACCTGAAAATCTAGGTAAAATCTTGGCCCAATGAAGTCAACAGCAAAACTCTGACTCCAGTGGAGCCAGGCCATCATCCTCTATCTATTTCAGCAAGACTTCTGTATCACTTGAAAAATCCACATAAGTAGGCATTACAAGGGTAGCAACCTTCAAAACAAGCACATACCTTGAATATTTCAAAACTTACCTTGAGTCTGGATGTATATTTTGCTTCTAGCATCTGGCTTTAAAGAGAGGAGAGCAAAAGAGTAAATTTCATTGCTCACCCCCCCCCCAAAACTGTTCAGACTCAAAATAATCTCGTGCAGTAATATGCTCAACTACATAGTTGCCCTTTGAGTATTGAGAAGCAAAAGAGACTAGCTGTATTTCTAATGGATTTCTGACCATTAGAAAGGAACACTTTTGCAAGGTCAAATGCACAAGAAAATCAGTGATTAAAATTAGGTTTAATCAATCTTTATAGTATCAACCAACCAATTTTGCAATTTGATACAATTACCAGATTAATATAAAACCTACTTTTTCGCTTATGCCAATGACACTTCTAGCATCCATTAGCCTGCTCATTGCACGGAGAAAGAGAGAACTATTTCTCTGCAGAAGGAAGGCTGTAGTTTCTAAAATACACTGGGACTAGCAGAAAAACCATAATTGGTTTAAAAGCCACAGAATCAGTTTCATCAAAGTACATTTATCTAAAAAGGGCCTTTCAAACATACCAAGCAAGAAACAAAACCCCACTTATCTCTCACAGTATCTTTTGTCAAAGACTGCTGCCGAATATATATGGGCTTATCTACGTGTGAAAATTGACCGGCATAGCTATTCTGGAAAAACTGTTCCGCTATAGCTTCTGGAATAACTCCCCTCTGTGGACACTACTCTTCCAAAGGTATTCTGGAATAGCTATACAGTGCAGATATAGCTGTTTCCGCCATGTAGACAAAGCCGATGTGTTTAAACAAGGGCTTGCTCCTTCACAGCCTACCTAAATAACCTACCTTGCCTAAATAGCTCAGACTGAGTATTGTGGTAAGGAGTTGCCCACTGGGGCAGAGAGTCCCTATATTATCCAGAGTTTGGCATCCAGATCTAAGCAATTAAGGATATTCACCTGTATCAGCAGATTGTGAACCTGCACATCACCCACCCTTAAGGCTGTGAAATCACAAGTGCCAGTTTTTTCTCTTAATTAATTAGCCTTTTAGAGTTGGTAGGACAACTCCTACCTTTTCATGTTCTCTGTATGTGTATAAATATCTCCTTACTATATGTTCCATTCTATGCATCCGATGAAGTGGGCTGTAGCCTATGAAAGCTTATGCTCAAATAAATTTGTTAGTCTCTAAGGTGCCACAAGTACTCCTGTTCTTTTTAAGTGCCAGATAGTGACTTTATGGCAGGAAGAGACGCGCTGTTTTGAGAAGAAAGCCCCAATTCAAAAACAAATGTGACACAACTGCACATATTGTTTTTCAGCTTTGTCCTATGTGACTGGCCCTCTCTATAGCTCAAGTCACCACGTTCAGTTTCAAGTACTGAAAATTAACAGCAACGGAAACGAGAGAGAAAGTAATTCAGGAGGAAGTGGTATGTCATCAGCCTGAAATAGCCCAGTCAAGGGGATAGGAAGTTCACTGGAAGTCACTGAACTGCTACTTCACAAACACTCCTCAGACGAACACCAGTGCTGTAATTAAAGGGGGACCGGGGCTGACAAGAATTATGCTGTTTAGATTAGGTCTTTCCATAGTCATGGGCTGCACCCTACAGATCCTGTATGAATACTCTTATTCCATGGGCTGCCCTACAGATCCTGCATGAATACTCTTATTCCATGGGTTGCCCTACAGATCCTGTATGAATACTCTTATTCCATGGGCTGCCCTACAGATCCTGTATGAATACTCTTATTCCATGAGCTATAAAAAAAAAAACCAACCAAAACAGCTTAAAGAGGTATGCAACAACATAAACACATCTCAGATATAGCATAACAAATAACCTCTCGTATTTATATAGCACCTGTCCGTCCAAAAGAGCTCAAACACGTCATTAACTATACACTGAGAGCAACGGTGGGGAGGAGGATGGCAAACAATTGTTCTGCAATTTGATGCGTGGACGAACTAGGGAAGTTGGAAATCTGGGCTAGAAGACTGAAGCAAACCCCTACAAAGAAGGCCAGGAGATCATTAGGGTGGGATTTTTAGAAGTGTTCAGCAGCATCTAATTCTGCTCCCCTTGAAATCAATGGCAAAACTCACTATAACTGTAATGGGAGCAGTGAGGCCAATACTGAGAGCTTCTGAATATCTCACCCTTAATGTCCACACAGAGCAAATGACTGTTACACACATGCAAAGGATCAGATCCTCAGCATAAACTGGAGTAGCTGCATTGAATCTGATTTACACTAACTGATGATCTAATCCAAATAATTCAAGGACCTCACAGAAACCATGAAAAAACAAAGCAATTCCAAGTTCAAAATCTGAGCTAACTGTTCTTACTAAAATAAAAACCGCAAGCGTTGCCAAGAGCCCCACACGTAGTTATATATTTTATAATGCTCAGCGTACAGATTGGACTTTCTTGGCTCGGTATTTGTTCTTTCACTTGCCTGGAAATACCATAACTGCTTAGGATCTAGCATGTCACTTGCTTAACAACTAAGTTACAAACCCAGTGAGTGTACAAAAATACAAAGCTAAGCATGAGTCTGAAAACTTTGTTATGCACTAAAGTGGAAAAAAGTAATAAAGAACATATTGTAACCTAGAATATTCTTTATAAGAGCACCTGTGGAGAACACACTACCTCAAACGAGAGTTCTATGCTGTCACCAGACTAGGCATTCTTGCTGAAACAAAGATTAATGAATGATGCATAGGTGAACTGTACACTGAGCTGAGATTATGGAAGGTTGGTTGTTTTTTAGGTACCACAACCCCTTTATCTGCAGCCTCATTTGTCAATGACACTGAAGAAACATAAAACAGGGACGCTCTAGTCAGTTCCAATGGGAACATTAAAGAGTGTCCAATGATAATACGTGTTTAAATTGTATCATCTAACTTAAATTCTTATTAAAAATGTACAAAATGACACCTTCTCATTTAAAATTAACTAGATTTTATATTACAAATCTGGAAGGGATGATATATGTATGTATTTATTTATATCTTAGTGACTCTTTGGGGAGGTGAAAATTCACCATTGGTCTGTTCCTTTGAGGATCTGGCTACTCTCAGAGATTTTTAAGGTCAGAAGGGACCATTAATATGACATAGGCTGTGAAATTCATCAAGTAATATCTGCATCTAGCTTGTATCTTGTGTTTTAGAAAGGCATCCCATGTTGATTTAAAGATGTTAGCTTTCAAGTCCATTGTCTCCAATGGGAACTTTTGGTGCTCAGAACCTTGTAGAATATACTTGAAAAGTGCAGAATTGACCCCTCTTTTATTTAGCACGAACATAAGATTCAATTTCACTGTACTGTATGATATTTATTGTACAAAGATGATTGTATTGATACAGGTTTTTTTAACTATTTCTTGATTCGGATACTATTGAAAGACTGTCTCAGAACTATCAGATATAAACTCAGAGCCTTATCTTGCTGTTACTTATAGGATGTGAATTTCATATTTCCATGTATATTTTAGAAGGCAAATCACATGGCTCTGTCCCATACAATACTCAAAAATGATATTTAATCCTCACACACACACACAAAAATAGCATCATGCTACTGAGAGTTTGGCAGCTTGGCACAGGAGGACGCGTGTTACAGAATTAGGCTAAATTCTAATTCCACATTTTACATTGGCTTAATTGCATCCTCAATAGGTACACATTTCAAAAACCACCACTAACATGAACCTGTCCTCTGGCCGCCTTCAGTCTAATTTATACCTCCCTGGTGCAAATTATGCAGCAATGTGCCCAAGAAAATGGTAGACAGGGCCTGATCAGGGATCGTATTCACTCAAATTCATACACTATATGGCCTGGCTCTTAAGTCTTGCTTCAGAATGGGCCTCAACCCATGAGGACTTGCAGAATGGCACTCCCACTGCTTTGGAAGGAGCTAGAATGGGGCAGACAGTTTCAACACCACAGCTCCTGTCCTTGCTCCCAATTCAGCAAAGCATTGAAGCACATGATTAAATCCACTGAAGTCAATGGGACTAACATATTTAAAGTTAAGGAACTAGTTAAGTGCTTCGCTGTGTCAGGGCCCTTGACATAGTTTTTCTAGTAGATCTGTATATTTTACTCTTGAGAGAACTTTGCCCATAAGGAGTGAACAGAGGGGAAAATGGGGTGGGTGTGAAACTGGCCACAGATAACATTTCTTTTGTTGTATTCTCTTTTTTAAAAAAATGGGGAGGGGAACAGTTGAGTGGTGATAAAACTGCCATTGGAAAGTGTTTTTTTCCACTGAGATTACACTGTTGGAATAACAGACTGATCATAACCACAGGGCTTTTTACAATATTTTACATACTTAGATTATGCATTATTAAAACTTAGTATTGTGTACTTCCTAATGAAAGATACTTTATCCAATACAATGAAAGGAGTTTGTTGGAGGATATGACCCTCTGAGTACCACACCATTTCTAGTACTTGCTAGGAATTTAAATTCGTAATTTACTGACTGACTAAGAAAGCGCGCATTGGAGGAGTGATGCAGCTCACGTTAGTATGAAATAATGGGTAAGGAATCCTAATATGCTGAGGAGAATAGCACAGAAAAGTGCATTTGTGTTTCTCAATGTTTGTAGTTGAAATGTCCGTGTCCTATGCTTTTTCTTAGAGGATCGGGTGTTTTATATGAAATAACAGTACTTCAGAGCCAGGTCACTAGCCTAGGACTCGGGAGAGCCTTCTCTGCCACAGACGTCCTGTATGTTCTTGGGCAAGTCACTTAGCTTCTCTGTGCCTCAGTTCCCCATCTGTAAAATGGGAATTATAGCACAGCCCTGCCTCACAAGAGTGAGGGAAGGATAAATACTCTGAAAGATTGCAAGGCGATCCATTACTATGGTGATCGGAGCCATAACGTACCTAAGATAGATTTACAGAAGCAATTAGATGGCTAACTGCTAATATATTAATTACTAATAGCCAACATTATCTGTGCCCAGATAAAAATGACTTGCCTAAGGTTACTGAGGGAGTCAATGTCAGAACCAGGGTTAGGAATTCCAGAGTCCAAGTTTACTCCTTTCCCCAATCTTTTGTCCAGCTGTTTGTTTTGTCTTTTTCAAGTATAAGCTCTTTGGGGAAGGGACCAAGTCTTTATATGCTAGTATAGTGCCTAGCACATTGTGGTCACTACTGACAACAAATACTACAAAATTACTAGACCACACATCTCTTTGGGTGTCCTTTTAATGAACACGACAAAATCAGATTAAAATCAATTAATGGTGAAGAAACTGTAGACAGTATTAGTGTGCAATATTAAACTGTTTGGACATGCGGGCTGTACCGCCAAACAGTTTTCTGTTGGTGGAAGGAAGGGTGGTGAAGCAAATGCCTAAGGGAAATGATTGCATGATTATGGAAATTAAAATTGAAGA